GTGGGCTGAAACCGTCGATAGGGGTTGACTAACAATCTGAAAGAGAGGCAAACACTATGAACCAAGTGGTCCAGAGAGACATGAACACAACTCACATTCAAACGCGATGGCAAGGTCGTGACAATACATAGAGAATAGGTGAACCACATTATAATATCTCTCGAGCATGACACACTATCGGTCTAGGAACGCTACGTCACTCTCTTGCATCAAGAAGTGCCGTAAAATACCTGCCACTGACAAGGGTCACGTCTGCTGGTGATATTTGTGTTAAGACTGAACAAAACAGAAAGTAAAACAACTGTCTTTGACCGATTCCCAACGGTTGCTTGTGATTTATATAGCGTAGACCGACAATATTTAAACGCAAGTTACCTCAACCCGCGTAAGTGCAGTAAAGAGAAGTGGGATTATTGCTCTGGTTGAAGAAGAAGATCGACAAGAGTGAAAAACGTCTATGAAGTGAGACCCACAGAGAAAGTTCATATGAGTAACAGAACAGCTTGATTCATCGGGACAAGTGAAGATTCCGCGATTGAGCGTAGACAGGTAAGATGCACCTGGTAAAGCAACAGAGTCTTTTGGGTCGTATAAATGTGAATAGAATATTGCTACAATAATACCATGGATACTGCAGTTGTTAAGTACGCTGACCATAATCTACTATCTCAACGGTAAAATCAGTTTCAATTCTCAGTAAGCCAGTAAGCACACAATGCAGCCAAGTGTCTTTATACAAACCGCGAAAAATGGTAAGGTAGTTTTTTTATTTGGTTAGCAGTAGACACTGTCCTATTGAAGGATGATTTCAGTTTGGTAATCTGTCTAACGGAGGATAATGCAATGCGGTGAACACTGCCGAACAGTCTCGAAAGAGGTAGTCAGATACCGAGGGAGATCCGTATCGTCGACATATTAGGAGAGTCCACATTCTGCCTTGTCATTAGGTGCTGCGAGGGCGGTAAAAGGTAGGACAACCAATTCTAACGTGCTGCATAAACTTGTAAAGTGTGTTGCTAAGTATGAGTGTAAGTTCTGTAGGACTTACTGGAGTCATATCTCTTGTTTAATCTTATTTTGAAGCAAGTACTATTCGTTCTGAAAAATAACTTCACGCCAACAGATGGTGCACAAAAATGGGCTAGCGAAACAAATACCTCAGTGTAGCTTGAACTTAGTCAAATAAACGCGATGATTACAAAAATTCTTATGAGTAAATCATACCTATACATTATGGTTACATGGCATCATTGAAAATAATGTGGAACGATTGTGGCTCGGGATGCGGATGTTGATGTGTTCTCCGGGTTAGAAGTGTTGTTCTCAGTCGTTTCGTAGCCAGGCTAATCCTGGTCTGGTTACGAAACGTCTACGAACAACACTTCCAGCTCGGATAACACGTCTACTTCGAATTGTGTTGTACAAAAGCAAAGATGCTACCTCCAGTTTGATTTTGTTGTGCTTTGCTTGTTCAGCACCAGTCAAACTATCATAAAACTGTAGCGGCATTTATTCAGCACCAATAAAACCAGCTATCTGGAATTTCTGAATGTGAGATATCCTGTCCGTGAAACAGGAATTTTCCGAGTGATTCCGACAATAGTACACTGTGCGAGATCACATTTCGGATGAGGAAAGGACAGTTGTGCTTTGAGCATCGGTGTAATAGTTGATCGTTGAGTGATCAGGAACCTTATTTTTCCCAATGAACTCGGACATGGTGATTGAGTTCAAAAAAGCCTTTTCTATTTATACGGGTAGGAGCGTGTCTCTGTGTGGATATGTAATCGTTTAGGAGTGCATGCTATAGGTTTTGACTTGCGCGAACTAGAAATGAGGATAGCTAACACCAAATTTATGTGATGCAATGGCGAGATCTTCTAAATCATGCTTTCTCTGGTTTGAATTAATTGTGTACAATGAATTTTTCATATTTGTATATTTTTGTGTATGATTACCTTTTGGTAACACCACACTGATCGTCACCGCGAACAAGTTGTACAATGTCATATAAAATGTAACGCAAAGAATGTCGCTGGAGTTTATTTTATTTACACGGATTCTTACATAAGTCACTAGCGACCGGTTACATTTTAGTGGCAGTCATACCAGTTAAGGTGCAGCGTAACTCTTGTAAATGGTAATACGGCAATGTTTATGCCAAAAGGATAAACTTGTGGACGGATGGGAACGACAAGCGAATCAATGGGGGATGATAAAGATCGTGCATAATCTTATTGGTAAGCTTAATACAATAGCTGAAGTGACCGTTGATAAGTTCCGTAATTAACGAATCAACCGAAATGATGCATCATCGAAACACGACGAACAGATTTCAAGGCTTGTTTTAAAACGCCGGGGAACACTACAAGGAAGCAATAGAGTAGAACTGAGCAAACGCACTGATGAACGGAAATGAACCCAACCAACTGAGCGGTCCGGAAACGCCTGAGTTTCCGTAGCTGAAAAGAGAAGTGCCTCAGTTTCCCCATAAATGTAAATGTGTGTG